TACCATTAATAGTGGTATGATGATTTTTGTAAGTCTTACAAAAGTGGTGAAATCAGGATATGACTGGTGAAATGGATATTAAGAAGTTTGATCATAGTGATATAATGTTGATATAATAGTGATATGCAGGGGTGGTAATTGATTTATCGGTTAACGATATAACCAGTTACGAACCGAACCGATAACCGTATGTACCGTATGGCAGTAGCCACAATATTGCACACAGACACAGTATACCGGATCCAACCCGATTAGTAACCGACAGTTAGCCGGTATATCGGATAACCGATATCTCCTCGACAATAGCATCCCAACCCGTCTTCCTTCCCTTTTTCTCTCCCAACTCTGCAAGGTCATAACGCCATCTCCGCCGCCGTCTCACATTCCTGCATTCCCAACTCCACCCTTCCCCTCCTGCCTGAAAGATGAGAACTTTCTTCTTCCATCTCCCATACCTGCAAATCTTAACTCTCTACACCATCAGCAACTCACCACTTTTTTCCTCCATGTCGCTATGCTCTTCCACCAGCGTTTTTTTCACTGGACGCTCTTTCAACAGCCTCCGACCTCACCAACCTCGACTTGTCCCCGATGCACCTAAACTTTCCATCTTCACCCTCTCGACTAACAAAGCGGTGGACAACGATCAGGAACACGACGGCACGACGTCGACGCAGCAGCGGCGGGAGCACGAATCGATGACGAGACCAGAGACCTAGTCGCCAACTGGCACCGATGGCGGTAACTGCGGCGCCGAAAGTATCTCCCGATTGATGACGGAGCGAATTTAGTCTATTTTCCATGTGAGATTGAAGGTGATGGAGTTGACATTAAATTGGCAGCGGGAATCGAAGAGGAGGGAGGTGGCGCGGCGGAATCAGCCGAAAGTATCTCCCGATTGATGACAGAGCGAATTTAGTCTATTTTCCGTGTGTGATTGAAGGTGATGGAGTTGACATTAAATTGGCAGCGGGAATCGAAGAGGAGGGAGGTGGCGCGGCGGAATCAGAGATCCTATGATGATTAATTAGTTAGCAACTCTTCTCTTCCCTTCAAAGAAGAAACATCACCACTATTGATACCATTAACTGCAGCCAAAGGTGATGGGAATTTGGAGGGGTGGCAAAGACTGAACCACGAAAATGGAAGGCATGGTGGAAACAACTCCTCTGCTTTTCCCTACGTTGGCGGTATGTCACGGTAACCAGTTATCGGCTATCCGGTATTCTGTTAACTTGTTAAAAACCAGTATATCATTAACTGGTTAGCTGATTACCGGCTCAAGATAGGGTGCATAACCATAGGTTATGCACCCATCAATAACTAAATCTGGACTCTTTATTTAGAAAATCCAGATCTAAGAATGGAGAATTAAAGACTATTTTTATTTTTACTAGCTTTCTTAATTGACTCATATCTTTTTCGTTTTAACTCGGATTTTAATTTTTTTTGCACAGATGGAACGAGTTCACCGTGCTCTACAAAATGAGATCAATTTTCAATATTTTTTTAGGAAAAAAAATTCCGGCCTCTCGGTTCCAACTGCATACCATATGGTATCTTCTTCGTTTTTAATTCGTTTTTGAAAACGTTTGCACAGCAGGGATGAGTTCATCATGATCTACTGGATCTACAAATTTCTGGGTGAACAAATTACAGGACCAAAAAATACCACACAATACCATACAATACCACCCTGGTACGGGGTGGTATTGTATGGTATCTTCTTCGTTTTTAATTCGTTTTTGAAAACGTTTGCACAGAAGGGACGAGTTCATCATGATCTATTGGATCTACAAATTTATGGGTGAACAAATTACAGGACCAAAAAATACCACACAATACCATACAATACCACCCTGGTACGGGGTGGTATTGTGTGGTATACAATGTTAAAAGTCGTAAATTACAATTAATATACTTCTAATATCATGTATTCAACCATCCTACAGTATTGGTTTGTTCATACCACCATGGTACGTTTTTCAAAACATAGGTATGCTTTTACTTCAATACCAGTCAATACCATATGGTATAGGCTGGTAAAAAATGGCTCAATTTTTTTTGTTCGAAAAATATATTAAAGTGGATATCATTTTGAAGAGCACAATTAATCTGATCTAACTGTGCAAAAAAAATTAAATTTCGACTTAAAATGAGCGAGAAATCGTCCGTCAAAGATTAAAAAGGGAAAAATTAAAGGCTTTTCATGAGAGGGAGGATGCTGATGTCATGCTGATGTGGACGGGTTACTCATGGTTACTCACCATAAGATTACTGACCTGATCCATTCCCCTGATTACCGGTATACCAGCCATAGTGATATAATGATGGTATAATAATGACATATATTGTTATGAGGTCTTATTTTTATCAAAATAATTTGATGACATCATAGTACTGTTATATCATCCTATTGTGATTATATCATAATAATATTATAGTGGTATGATATGTGCATTGAGTTTTTACCATATTCTTCATGGGATGCGATTGGATGCTAACCATCCATTAAGTTAGCACCGTAATAACCAAAAACATCTTTTTTTTCTTCACTTTCCATAAATCTAAGGGTTGATTTATTAGAAGGGCATTTTGGGTATGTGAACACGTGATCTCAGCCTTGGTGTGCGGTATTTAGGGAGGAATCGAATCGTCTATCCATTTCAGCCATTTTTCTCCTCTTTTCTCTCTAATCTTCTCTCTCTTCTACTGGCAAAACGACCCATTAAAACAGTAAAAGGCCTTGCCATTATCGCCGTTTTTGTCCTCGTTGTCCCTGCCCTAGCCGTATCCGCCCTCCTCGTCGTCATCGCCTACGTCGCCGTCGTTTTCTTCAGCCTCTCCTGCGTCTCATGGTATGCATCGCTGCACCCTTCACCTCTGACACTCAAGTCGCCCTTGCTAGAGTTTCCCGAATCGAATTTGTCCATGGCTTAGATCTTGTCGATTCTGCAGTCGTCCTCTTCTTTCGACCTATATTTCTTCTGCCCCGTCGCCACATTTGAACCTTCTAGGTATGATGTGGTTTTAGTGTGTTACCCATCTCACCATTTGTTCAACGGTGCAGTTGCATGCAGTCTCTTGTTTTGGGTTTGTGTTAATGATTTTCGTCGTTCTGTATTCTCCCGGAGGCCCATCGGTTTGGGGTGGTTTTGAACATCCTAGTAGTGTTTTTCAGCTCTACTTTAGTATTTTGTCATTTTTGGGAATGAAATATGTAAGGGGTGTTCTCTATTTTTGCTCGTTGTGGCAGTGTTCTTCAGATTTACAGTGTTAGTGCATGTTTTTTATTGTTCGAAAATTATTTTGGTAGTGTTCTACAATCTTTAGAAGTCCTCGTAGTGTTCTTCAGATCTAGCATTAGTAGTGATTCTGCAAGTAGTAGTATTCTTCAAATCTTCGGTGGTAGTGTTTTTATTGGTATTTTGGTAGTGTTGTCCCGTTTTTGCAGGACCTAGTAGTGTTTTTCAAATATATCATTAGTAGTGATTCTGGTGGTACCCTTTACTAGAGTTTCAGACCTCGCCGGCGATATAATACCTCACCCCGCAAACACCCTCTCGGTTGAATATCTCCAAATCACAAAAAATGGAGAGTAAACCCTCTCCCCCAGAATAAAAAAATATAAACAGCCTGTCAATGGAACCCACAAATTGCGGTCCTTATCACGAAAACTAGAATTACATTCAAAATTTATTATTTTGTTTTCAAATATATCATTAGGAGTGATTCTAAACAGCAAAAATTATGTTCTTTCTAAATTTGTAACCATCAGATTTAAAATAAGGATCAACGATTTAGATGTTAGTTAGGATGGTGCTAGCCCCCTATGGAGTTAGCACCCTAGCTTCTCCCCATTTGATAATATGATATGATAATCATAAGATTATATAGTAAACTCATGTTTTTATTTCTAATTTTCATATTTATCAAAATATAAAAATTGAATATTATTGTGTAACTCATAATTAATGACTTCTTCTGTGCAAAATATTTGAAATATTGAGTTAAAATAAAATAGATGTGCATTATATAAATATCATATCATGACCATATGCTCTGATAATACTAGCGGCAGATCCAGGGGCCGCCCTGGGTCACTGTCCAGCCCTCCTCTAGATCCGGAGCTACTGAGCTAGTATAGCACTTGTAATTTTCAATTTTTTGTATTCGTTTTAGTGTTTGTCGCGTTACCGCCAAGCCCTTTTCGCCTTTTTTCAAATGTGGCTCAGTTCTCTACCTTGTCCTTATCCACCGGTGGATAATACTACCATAAACACTTGTATCAAGAGTTTTTTTTTTTCTCAAAAGATAACAAAATGGATATTATTGTACAGATATTAATTAACACGTTCTTTATATGCAAATTTTGTAATTTATGAGTTAAAAGAAAGTAAATATGACTATCCTAGTGGTAATACCACTATCCTAGAACCTGGAGGTCCCAGGTTCGAATCCCTTAAGTAGTACTTTAATGGCAACAAAATGAAACCTATATCACCCTTATAAAAAAAAAAAAAAAATATGACCCGATTAAGAAAGTGAAAAATTTCCCTCTTTCTTTTGAATTTTGTGTCGATGTAAAAAATAGAGGGTGCGAAATTACAAGTTCTCTCCTCCTTGTTTTCTAATGAATTTTGGTTCGTTATATATGATTAAAATAAAAGAATAGATATGAGATTCGTATTATAAGATTTTGTCCCATATCATTTCTCAATTATATTATTCACAGTTGATAACCAGGACCAATCATTATTCTAATTCTTGCATGAACACACAGACTGAAGTAAAATCATCAGGATTAACCATTTACAAAGCATATTAGTGAAAGCCCATCACCCCCTTATTAATAACGACTTGTTTTGTTCACTTTCCGTACTTAGCCTTGTAGTCCTTCCAAAGCTCATCCACGCTCTTCCCAAGCAACTCCTTGAAAAAAGTTACGTTATAACCATCTCTCAACTTCTTATTAAGCTCGGCCACGAACCCATCGTTCCTCAATCCGTCGCAATAATCCAAAAACATAGCCGTAACGTCGTAGCCTTGGTCCCACTTATCGCCCTCCCCGGTTTGACCCAACGACCCGGCGGCGGGGCCAAACCGGCTCTCAACCTAACGAAATCCGCAATCCCTTCAATCAATCCACCCGGGGCAATGTCCCCTTGCCCGCCACCCAACCACTGCCACACGTGCGTCATCTCGTGATACACCACTCCAGCCACCTCACGCCTGACGTCATTGCCGCCGTCGGAGTAGCTCCCGACGTATTGGGCGCTGAGGCTGATCTCGTTGTCCGAGGTGTAAGCCACGCCGTCCATGTCCTTCACCAGCAACGTCACGTTGGAGAAGTCTCTCCGGCTGCCGTTGGTGGTCTCGCGGAAGACACTCGTCCATATGAAATTGGTGGCGTTGGACATGACGTGGCAGGTGTAGTTGGTGCCGACTTGGCGCGTGAAGATGGCACCGCCGGCTGTTTCCGGCGTGGTATTGATGGCGGTGAAGTTGATCACTTGTGCGACGGCGGCGGAGAGAGAAACAAGGAGAGAAAGGAGGAAAATGTTTTGAGACATGTTTATGGTTTAATTAATTTGATCGGTCCATGGGGTTTATTATAAAGGCAACAAGGCGGGAACTAAACGGTGGTTTATAGAAAATGACCAATAATTAAGCTTGTGTTGACAGCCTCATAATAACGCACAATTGTCAAACTCTTGATTAATCAATGATCTAAACGGTCGGATATGAATATATGTATGTATAAATGATAGTACATATGAAACCATGTTTTGTTTGGGACGTTGCTGTTGGGGTTTTCTTATATTCTTGTACCGATTGATTTCCGGCCTTTGATGTACGTATCGCAACATCATTTAATAAGGCCACTATTTACCAACCATCTGATCAACATTGTATCACTCACCTAGACTGTCACCTTGTTTTTAACGTTGGGATACAATTTTTCTTCAAATTTTTGGGTGTTGGGTACATAACAAATATGTTTTTATTCTTTCATAATAATAAGATTGAGCACCTCGTACAATAACTTGATTTTTAGGTGATTGGATGTTTTTGAATGATCATAATCTATAAAATGGATGAAATACAAATAAATGATGATATTTTACAATTGTTACTTAAGATACAAATATATTACTTAACGATTATGGAATGATAAATATTTTTTACGTAATACTTAAATAAATGTGTTACACGTTGTTTCTGCACTTATCTAAGGGGCGGAGGATGTTTAGTGTTGGCTTTTTTTTTCTTTGTGTTGTTGCACTCTTCGTTTATTGCCAGAATTGCTTGATCTGTCCTTCAAACTTCTTATATCTAATATTATGTACTCTCCATGTTATGGACATTTTATGTGTCCTCGTTGTTTTTTTTTTATTATTGTGATGCAATTTTTCAAATAAAGTGTGGCCGCTTTTTACTTCCTCTTGTTAAGCAAGGCACTTCTTCTTTGACGGTTGTCGTGATGGGCCGACATGTTGTCCCACTTGTTAAGCGGTTCACAATCTATTGTGAGACGTTATTCTGTCTTTCTAAGCGCAATGCGCTCATGTTCACCTGGCATGTTATTTCACTTGTTAGTGTTTACTTGGACATACATGGTGATGCCTTCCAAAACTGTGAAAGCCTAAAAATATACATACCTAGTAAAGATGTGATATAATTGCATCGCGATGTCTAAGGACACGGTCTAAGAGATCGTTATACCGAGTGGTTGGATCATAATCTCTTATCATAAAAATGGCTGCATGCGCAGCAGCACCAACTATGAGAAATCCACCAATCCACATGTGATGCGTGAACAATGACAGTTGTGTACCATAGTTAGTAGCTATTTGGGATGGCAATTACCCACCCATTGCTAATTATACCCAAACCCAGGTAGACACATTGATAATGGGTTGGGTATGGGTGAAGTGCATATGGGTTTGGGGGGGTTTGTAGATGGGTTTGGGTAATGTATGAATATTGCTTCCATAATCTAAATGGGTATGGGTTGGATATGGATATCCATTTACTTGAGGGTGTTTTAACTACACATGCAAAAATTGGACCTATTTGTAAAACTTGAAAATTTTAGGTACTAAAATGTAAGACAAAAAAATTTAGGTACCAAAACGTAATTTTCCATCCATATTTTGAGGACTTATATACAAAAAAATTAAAATTTAGGTACTAAATATGCATATCTATTAAGTTTAGGTACCAAACTGTAATTTGTATTTGGGCATGGGTACAAACCCAAATCCATTTGTTATAAACCCAACCCAACCCAAAGTAAATGGGTATGGGTACAAACCCATCAAATTCTACCCATATCCATCTATTTGGATTTCATACCCAACCCAATTGGGTTGGATAGTAAAAAACTCATGGGTATGGGCAAAATTGTCATCCCTAGTAGCTATATATGGATAAGGGGGCATGGAATACATATGGTGAGCTAAAACAATGGTTAAAGAACCTAACATAGCTAGGTTAAGAGATAATTGAGCATGCCATGACGTTTTTAGGATCTCATATAGGCCTTGATGACCATGGCCTGTAAATCGACCTTTATGAGACTCTAAAATATCTTTTATACCATGACCAATGCCCTAGTTAGTCCTATACATGTGACTTGCAATAAGGAAAAGAATTGCAATAGCTAAATGATGGTGTGCAATATCGGTTAGCCATAGACCCCCAGTTACTGGATCTAATCTCCACGAAAAGTAAGAAATTCCGAATATTTTGACCAATTCAAGGTGAAAAAGGGAGTTGCTCCCCCATCAAAACTAGGATACAGTTGAGCCAAAAGATCCCGGTTCAAGATAAATTCACGAGGAAGTGGTATCTCTTTAGGATATACTCCAGCATTTAGAAATTAGTTAATTGGTAAAGATACATGTACTTGATGCCCCCACCCAAGAAAGAGACCCAACTCCTAGTAGTCCTGCTAAATGGTGATTCAACATAGATTCTGCATCTTGGAACCAAGCCAATTTTGGAGCAGCGTTGTGATAATGGAACCAACTAGCAAAAAGCATTAAGGCTGCAAATACCAATGCACCAATTGCGAAACAATAAAGTTGTAATTCACTAGTTTTTCTCGAAGCTCTCCAAATCTGGAAAAAGACCCTAGGTTATTTGGATTCCTCAGAAACCTCCACCCACATCACCATTTAATATTTCTTGACCCACTATTGGCAAAACCACTTGGGCGCTAGGTCCAATATGAGTAGGATCATTTAGCCATGCTTCATAATTGGAAAAACGAGCACCGTGAAAATACATGTCACTCAACCAAAGAAAGATGATGGAGATTTGGCCGAAATGAGCACTAAATACTTTTCAAGAAATCTCCTCCAAATCACTAGTATGGCTATCGAAATCGTGAGCATCATCATGTAGGTTCCAGATCCAAGTAGAAGTATCAGGTCCTTTAGCTATTGTTCTTGAGAAATGACCAGGTCTGGCCCATTCCTCAAAAGAAGTTTTGACGGGATCCCTATCTACCAAAAAAAAAAAAATATGCGAAATCTACCAAAATTTTGACTTCTGGTTTCGGCGAACGAATAATCATAGAGTCCTCCTCTTTTCGGACAACACATACAAAGAGATCTGCCATATGAGAGAGATTTCTAGTTCGTTTTATACTTTTCTATCTCCCATTTATCGAGTATCTAGTTTTTTTAGTTACTAGAACAATTATGATCTGGATTGGAAGTCTATCCAAGGCAAGTGTTCAGATCTATTATGACATATTCGCGAGGTGCTCAACGGACATCCCGGGCTTTGAATTGAAGAAAAAACCATTTTTTGTGCAACCTACTAGACGCCTATCTTAATTAAAACTTCCTAGACGGAACTTTTTGGTTTACATAGAACATATTACTATTACTCTTATACTGCTACTCTATTCTAAATCAGTTGAGAAACATTACTAAGCTAAATCCCAGTATCTATATTTAGGCATGGGCAGTCAAAGGGTCTCTTTTACAGGACTCGCCTACGGTCAACTAGAATGCGTATTATCCATATAGGGATATTTCCATTGAGAAGATCCATCGATCTGAGACAAAGAGAAGGGTCTATCTATTTTATTTAGTTATTCAGTTAAACCAATGCCAATGATTCGTTATTGGAGAAAATAGCAACAACCACCATTTCATCCGACATACGTCTTTTTATTTTCCGATGGATTTCCAGCTTTCATTAATGAATTTTTTTTTTATGTAGTGGGTAATAGCTCTGGTTGCTCGCTGTTCAAGAATTCTTGTTTAGGCAGTTCATACCATCCATACATAGTGTTTTGGTCTAAGATTTCCATTCTTCCAAGTTTCAGCAGTAACATATTGTTTCATGTCCAAAATATGGAAGAAACAGGTGTTTCCACGACTCTACCACCCAATCAATTTGGTTCCACTTAATCCCTATTTCATGGCCATATATCTTTTAGGCTAAGGAATGGGAAACCTTTCTCCTATTCCATGAATCCAATTTTCATTTCATCTGAGAAAAGCCATCTTTTTCTCCACAATGCCTTTGTCCTTTGATCCAATAGCGTTCCGTTAGATAGGAACATATTTGATAAATATTGATAACTCTCGGATAGAGTCTTAGAGCGGAAACATCGATTGGATAATGAGCTATTGGTTCTAAGCCATCTCTAGCGATATATCAAGAACTCGAAGTGCTTTTCTTGCATATTCTTGATAAACTAGCGTTTATATATAGATGTAGGAGGGTATGTTTGGGAAGTAAGAAGCCCCTTTGACATCTCTTCATCTGCATAGAATTCCCGATGTGAAAACACAGAGACAAAGGGTTGATCTTTGAATAGGAAAAAAAGTGGATCTGCAGGATCCCAAATGAATTGGTTTATTCGAAAAATGCCCTGTTCTTTGGAAGATCTATCTCGTATCTGATACTGCATGGTTCCACTCTCCAAGAACTCCGAATCATTCTCTCGAAGCTCATCCTCTTCATCATAAATGACCCGCTTGTCCCGAAATGACCCGGCCCAATAGGGAAATCCTAATTCATTGGGCCTTTCGATACAATCAAATAGAAAGACGCCATATTCTAGGAGCCCAAACTATGTGATTGAATAAATCCTCCTCTATCTGTTGCGGGTCGAGGGCTCCTTCTTCTTCCCCATCTTCAAACTCCGATTCGTATTTTTGATATATTTATCTCTCATCAAGGATAGAACAAGATCCATTTTTCATCATATCTAAGGGACTCCTTGGTCCGAGCCAAAGAAGCAATGTCACTCGATCATTATCAAACTGACTGCATCCTTTTTCTGTCAGTGAGGATCCCACCAGAGCGCCTTCTAGTTCTAATAGGCCATAAATTAGATCAGAATCATTCTCAACAAGCCCATAATAAGTGATTCCATTTTTTTCATCTGGTCTGGGTAGAGACCAAAGGTCTTGAGCAACCGGTCCGGCAGACCAACTCAAAAGATAAAGAAGTATCGTTAATTTCTTCATGCTCGTTCAAATTTCAAAGTAGCATTTGTACAAATAAGAATCCCCTTCGTTACATGATTTTTTCTTCATATAGATCGATATAGGATCTATGGGGCAATTACTTAGAAATATATTTTGTGCAACAACCCTTCTGATAGACCGTCATTTACACATGTTTTTACCCTCATACTTACACCGTTTGAGGTGTCGATTCTCGTGTTTTAGGCCGATTTCACGCTAGGTTGTGCTTGTTTGTGATATTTCAGGTCCTAGTACGTGAATGAAGGCTTAGGAGCGAGTCTGGGGTTGATTGGACGACGAACGGACGAATGGCGAGCCTTTTGGAGAGCTGCACGGGCAGACCAGGGAGGCTGCACGGCCGTGCAATATGCAACTCTGGCCGTGCGCCTTATGCCGCACGGGCACCCCTGAAGATCTGCACGGCCGTGCGCCTGGCCGTGCAAGGTGGATGAAGGCCGAATAATTGATACGGTGCGTTTTGAAGGTGCACGGCCAGAATGGTGTTTTGCACGGCCGTGCACCTGGCCGTGCAACTCGGGAAAGTCGGTTTTAAAGCCTAATTCGAGCCAAAAGTGAAGAAATCGTGTTTTGAGAGCAAAAACAGAGCCCTAGAGAGAGAAAGTGCGAAGAACTCATCCTAGAAGCCGTCTAAGAGCTGGATTTCATCGAATCGAATTTGGAGATCGTCATAGGAGTGAAAATCATCGTCCCGGAGCAGATTATCCTCATCGTTATGAGTATGACTAATCCGATTCTTGTTTTCTCTTCTCTCTCTATGGAGTAGAACCCTTCTCTCACTTGGGTATGAAGAACCCTAGTTCCTTGTGTTAGGGATTTGATTGTAATGACTTGGGATGATATTACTGCTTGATTTTAATCGAATGATGCATGTTTCATGAATTGATTTGAGTCTGATCAGCTTGTCTCAATTTCTGCTTCAACCTGAGATAGATAGAATCTGATTAGGTTGTTAGAGCCTCTTCATTCGATAGTAGGAGATTGGCTATACGAGAGTTAGCCAGTTTACTGCTTTGTACTGGTGTTCTTGACGCCAGTAGTGGAGTTCTGTGTTCATAGCCTCAGCTTTCTATCCCGGTGAAGACTAGTCGTCTGCCGGGTAGTTAGACTGAGAGGGCTTGGTCAGCTTAAGAGATTCCAAGCTACTGTCGGATCTTCCGCAGTCTAATCAATAGTAAATCAACCCAGGGAATTGCAATTGAACCTAACCAAGGGGCTAGGGGGACTCAATCCCGAGTGACTCTTACCTGCTTTTGAAAACCGAACAATTTACTGCTTTCTTGTTGCTTTTACTTTTTACAACAATCACTCGACTTAGTTTGCTAGATAATAGAGAATCACGGAGTAAGCAGTAGATCTAGATCCCAGGTTGATAATTAAACTTGCCTATACTGCAGTCCCTTTCATTGGTTACACTTGGCCATTGTTAGGTGTTGTGTTTTAGCGTGTCAAGTTTTTGGCGCCGTTGCCGGGGACCCTCTAGGTTATTGGAGAAACGTGATAATTTGTTACTCTAGCTTTTTATTTTCTGCATTTTCTTTCTTCCACCTGTGTGCCTTCACGGGTTGTTTCTTCTGAGTGTGTGCAGGTATTGCATGACCCGTAGCCAGTCGGGAGATCTACTAACACTTGACCAGGAGCTTGAACGAACCTGCAGGAACTCCAAGCGGGTTCTAAAGGCGCGACTGGCTGCGGAGAAGGCGCTGTCACAGCTACAGATCAGAGAAGAAGAAGAAGGCGAGATGGGTGATCCGCAGAACAACAATGTGATCCCCGGGGAGCAGACCATGGGATCCTACTGGACCGCTAGGGCTGCGGACATGAGGTCACCTATTCAACACCCTCAGGTCCCAGCCAACAACTTTGAGGTGAGCACCTCCATGATCACCATGCTGCGCGGTTCAGTAGTGTTCCGTGGTAAGGAGGGAGAGTGCCCTCGATCACATCTCAGGCGATTCCACGAGCTCATCGATGGAATCAAGATCAATGGGGTACCAGCAGATGCCATCCAGCTGAGGTACTTCCCATTCACTCTGGAGGGGCAGGCCAAGGAATGGCTAGACACTCGACCTCCGGGCTCCATCACCACGTTCGCCAACCTGGCGGACAAGTTCCTCACCCGCTACCATCCTCCATCCAAGACAGCTGATCTCCAGAAGCAGATTACACACTTTTCTCAGGATGAGGATGAGACCATTAGGGATGCTTGGGAGAGGTACAACAGCCTCTTTCTCAGGTGTCCCAACCATGGTTTCAACGATGCGTTCAAGGTGGGCACCTTCTATCACGCCCTCTTCCCGGAGGACAAGCAGCTGATCGATTCGGTTTGTGGCGGGAACATGCTGACCAAAACCCCGCGACAGCTGAATCAACTCTTTGAGGAGATGGCGGAGAACGGTTATGACTGGGGCACTGCCAGGAGATCGAGACGAGCCCCTGGAAGGGGTGTGCATGCTGTGGGCACCCAGTCATCTGATCTGGTGCAGGTGGTATCGAAGCTGGTTTCAGCTATCGATCGTTCTGGTTTGATTGCAGGTACCGGACAGCCGCAGGCGATGCACTGCCAGTGGTGTGAGAGCTCTCATCACACCGTGGAGGACTGTCAGGCTATGAGGGAGTCGTCCACTCCCCAGGAGCAGGTGGATTTCATCGGGAATGCCAGGCGCTTTGACCCCTACAGCAACACCTATAATGAGGGGTGGCGCCAGCATCCTAACTTTTCTTGGGCTGGGCCAAATCCCAGACCACCAGCTCCCCAGGGACCTCCCGGTTTCCAGAGGCCTCCATACCAGCCCAGACAGGGGCAATTTCAGCAGCAACAGCAGCCACTCTACCAGCCCAGACAGGGGCCAGTTCCACCTCAGTCGCAGGCACGACCATTTCCACAGGCAGGGGCAGCCCCAGCCCAGGTTGACCCGATGGCGGAACTGAGAGATCTGGTGGGTTCTCTGGCCACCTCCAGTGCAAGTAAATTCAATAACATGGAGCAGTTCATGGAGAAGGCTTCTGGCAAGTTCTTGGAGCTAGAAGCTGGTCAGAGAAACACGCAGGCTGTGCTGCGAGATATACAGACCCAGCTTGGTGGTGTTGCCCTAGGCTGTTGCTCGGAGGACTCCAGGTACCTTGCCTGGTCCAGACCATCCCTCACCCGCAGAACCAGGATGAAAACTGCAGTGCCATCACAACCAGGAGTGGCAAGGTGACTGCCGATCCACCTGTTCGGGCAGAGGAGAGAGAGACCCCTGTTTCAGCACTTCCAGCTAATCAGGAAGAAATGGAGAAGGAGGTTGAGGTGCCTGCTCCTAAACCGCAACCAGTGGTGAAGGAGTATGTACCACTAGCTTCCCTTTCCTACTCGGTTGCACAAAGACCGACTGGAGACTGAGTTTGCCAAATTCATGGCAATGCTGAAGCAGGTGAATATTAGCATGCCCTTCGTGGAGGCATTATCGAAGATGCCCAAGTATGCCAAGTTCATGAAGGATCTCCTCACCAACAAGAGGAAGCTTGGGGAGCTGTCTACGGTGATGCTAAACTGAGGAGTGTTCTGCCATCCTGCAGAACAAACTACCAGAGAAGCGAAAAGATCCAGGGAGTTTCACTATCCCTTGCATGATTGGTAGTTTGCATGTAGGGAAGTCCTTGGCGGATTTAGGCGCTAGCATTAATGTCATGCCATATTCACTGTTTAAGAAGCTAGGCCTAGGTGAACCCAGTAATACTAGGATGAGCATCCAGCTTGCTGATAGATCTATTGTGCATCCTAGGGGTATAGCAGAGGACTTGATAGTCGCAGTAGGGCCATTTTCATATCCTGTTGATTTTGTGATTTTGGACATAAATGAGGATGTTGATGTGCCATTGATACTGGGTAGACCTTTTCTCGCCACCGCCAAGGCACTGATTGATGTTAATGATGGAAAGCTGATTTTGAGAGCTGGGGGTGAACAAATCACCTTCTCTGTTTCTGATAATATGAAACACCCCCAGCTCCATGATGATCTTGATTACTGTGATGTTGTTGCTGATTTTGAAACCGCACTCGCCATCACGAGTGCGGGTACTGATG